GAGAGATTTTATTTTAGGGAATTGGTTCACATAAAATTCTGAGGCTGGCAAATCCAAAATCTTCAAGGTAGGCTGTCAGGCTGAAGATCCAGGGAAGACTTGCAGCTTGACCCTGAAGGCTATCTGTTGGCAGAATTCCCTCTCTTTCATAGTGGGTGGTGGGGAACATCCATCTTTTTCTCTTAAGGTATTCAACTGATTGGATGAGAGCCGCCCACATTAGGGAAGACAATCCATTTTATGCAATGTTCAGTAATTTAAATGTTAATCCCAGTCTAATAAACAGTCTTCTCAGAGACATATAAATTAGTCTTTTAACTAAATATTCAGGTACCATCGTGTAGCCAAGTTGACATACAAAATTAACCATCATACCTGTCTTCACTGCCCCATCCTACCACCACACACAGAGTACAAATAGTAGTAGGGTTATCTAATCCATTGAAAAAATTTTACATGAATTGCCAGGGAAGATAACTAATTCACAACTAAAGAGAGAAGTTTTGGATTATGGTTTTAAGTCTTTGTGAATCAGTATGAGAGGGAAGGTGAGATGTGTAATTTAATTTTGTATTTTATTTTTCTTTGTTATTAATAGCACTGGATATTCTATAACTTTATTTAACATTTGTGTTAATTCATCTGTAATGCATTTCTGCCATTCATTCATTTATTTCTGTTGAGTTATTTTTTTTCTTACTGATTTATATGTTCTCTTTATAATACATTTGTTTCTGTTTTGCTTTCAAATTTTTATACTACATTTTAAATTTTGCTTCTGGTAAAATGCATCCAGATTTTTAAGAATTATTTATTCCATTGTTTTGTGCTTAGAAAATAATTGCCTATACAGGAATCAATTAAAAATCCATCTGGATTTTCAGGTTCCTATGGCTTAAATGCTTATATTTAACTCTTTATTTCATATTTTAACAGTTTGAAATTATATTATAGGTGCAGTTTACATTTTACTGTATTCATATAATATTATATATTGAGCATTTTCTTATCAAATAAAATTTTATTTGCTGTATAATATAAGCTTAGGATATAATTTATGGTTTTCCAAATTTCTAGTTTTCTCAACATTGTTGACTTTCTTTAAGTTCTTGTAAACTATTCCTAACTCAATGATCTTAAGATTACTTAATATTTCTGTCATTAAACTTTTTTGTACATAATAAAGTCTTTGTATATAATTAGGGATATTAATAATACCACAATTAGATTTGTTGAGAGGATTACACTGGGAACTTTATACATATCTCAGTAAAGTTTTATGACCTGATTACTATAGATCTTATAGTGGGTTTTCTTGTTGTTGTTTTTAATGCTATTTCCAGGATTTTATATTTCTGATGTTGTGTGGTTGTCATGTTGTTCTTATAACTGGGATTTTTTTCTATTATATTTTTATTTAAACCATAAAGGAAGCTCACTTTTTAAAAATGCAATCATTCCATATCTGACAGTGAAGCTGAATTTTATTTTTATATTTGACTTTGCACTTTATTTTCATGAGTCTTTTAGAGGTGTGTGTGTTTGTATGTGTAATATATATACATGTATATATATATATATGTATGTATATGTAGCTTCAGAATGATACACAAGCATCCTGACTACAGATTACAGGGTTTTTTCTAATATATTATCCTATATCATCTTTCTTTGAAATTTTTTATGCTTTTCTAATTTGTCAGCAATTAATCTTATTGCTTTGATAATATAATTGACTTATATCCCCCCAATTATGTAATGTACCATGCTGTTGTAGAATGGAGCAAGTCTAATAGTACTTTCTCAGTAGTTCATATTCTTCAGAAGGAATATGACCAAAAGCATTCATTAATCCAAATAATATTTTTAACTTAGAAATAGAGGCAGCTTAGCCATTTTTATAAAATACGACACACAGCCATTTATTTTGTATATATCTGGTTTTCATTTAGGGCTCTATTACAGTTGTCTTTAATAGATCTGATGTAAATTAGTTGGTGAAATAATATTGCATGTTGTGATTTTATTTCCTAGAGCATCTTTTTACAAAAAAAAAAAAAGAACTGGAAAGAAAACTATATTGATTTAATATAAAAACATTTTTAAATTACTTTTTGAGGAATCACATCCAGGACTGAACAACCATTCCATACACTTAAATAGCAATTGCTTTTCTGAAAAAAGAAGAAAACCTGAAAAGATACAACTTCTGCTACATTGTTAAATCCTGATTCTTACTTGCAGAGTTGTTTTAATTATGTGTCATTAGTTCCTCTTCCTATTGATAAGCGATCTCATTTATTTGAATTGCAGTACCACATATGGATTAATAAAATGCTGCTTCCAGGGACTGTGCCCATGTAATTCTGTTACACAGTGGCTGGTCTAGTGCAACACCTATGAAAAGGAGTACAGGGTCATTTCCAGCTTTCACCTCAACTTGGCATAATGGAGACACTATCATCAAAATGGCAGACAAATACTAAATATTTTTAAATGAGCCATTAAATAGAAAACTGTTTCCTATAGGTATGAAACCATTATTTCGTCACCTTGAAAATATTGCTGATACTCTAATCACTAAAACTTAAAGTCTGCTTTTATTCTTATTTTTCTCCCTTTCATACCTATGGCAGACATGGATGATCATCACTGAATTCTCTTTTGCTTGGTACAAGCTAAGCCTCTAGCCTTCTAAACATAATGCCCCAGATAGCCATAATTAATTAATTAAAATTGGCACTTCAGACGTAACCTATTTACCTACTTGCTAACTCATAATTTCTATTGACCAGAGCAATAAACTTGGTGATTATTCTAGGTTAATTCTAGTATTGGAGGCTTTTCTGTTCAATTTTGTAGAAATGAAGTACTGTGTGTCAACTTCTATTTGAATTTCATTACATAAAACTAGTACTGGAAACAAGATATCTTCATTTCGAAGGCAAAGTGGAGTTTAGATTCAATAATATAGGTCCAAATTCATATACTGCTTGCTCAGAGAAGGAGCTCAGAAAATGGTTAGAATTATTTTCCAGGTGATGAATATTTGCAGGATGAAATTCTTATTCTTTAAAGTTTTTGGTGTTTTGACTTTTGTCTCTGCATTATCCCAGTTTTCTTTCTACATCTCTAACCAACTTTCCATCTTGTGAAATGGTTTAGTAACGTAAGTTGAAGAACTAAAATCAAGTAATGGCAATAAGTTTGGTGAAAAAAAATGAAATACAAATATTCAGGAGTTATAAATTAAGAGATTTAGTAACCAGCTGGAAGGGGATGCATGAAGAAAGGAAAGATTCATGGGTAACTTTGAGATTACCCTGGGTCAGAGTGAGGCATTCTTTTTTAGAGATAATATTTGGATTCTATAAGAGCATGAAGGAGGAAGCATTTCCTTTCTGCTTGGGGTAGGGAGATGCCTCAGGAAATCCTTCTCTATATAGTAGTAGTCTTTGTTGCAATACATGACTATGTTGTACAGAATTAACCTGTGGTGTTGGTTCAAGAGGCATAATAGCTAATAAAATTTTACAATGTAAGATTTGTTGTAATTGAAGTGAAAGGAACCCAGCTTTCTTGACACTAATTAAAGCCTTTTTATTTATTAATTAAGTCATTCAAATATTATTTGTTGCAGACTTTGTAATGCACCTAACCCTGAATCAGGTGCAGGGACACAAAGATGAACATCACATTGACCCTGCCCTCAAGGACTTAATGATCCAGCAGAGAATGCACATATACAACCAACTACAATATACCTGAAATAAACTAATCCCTATCCGTGAAGGATAGAACATCACATTCAAAGTGATGCTGGGCAGATGAGCCCCAAAACTGGGGCTTAAACCAGGAGGGTTCTTGGCTTTGCCTAGGAAATAATTTAATGGTGAGCCAGTGGTGTTAGACGGCGACATTTATTGAAGTGGCAGTGTACAGGAGCAACAGAGATACTGCCCTTGCAATGCAGGGCTACCCAATAGACCGTATGCCCAGGGCATCAGCTTGGGGCAGTTTGCAGTCATATTTATATTTATTTTTAATTATATGCAGATTAAGAGGCAGTCTTGGGTCATCAGGTCATAGCCATCATAAGGGTGGTAACATTGGATGTTGTCATGGTGGTGGTAGGCTGCCTTGGCACTCCAGTGAGCAATCTCATGGAAAACTGCTTCTGCCCCATCCCTGTTTTAGCTAGTCCTTAATTTGGTCTGATGCCTCAGGTCTGAGCTCCCACCTTTGGAGTCATGTCCCTCTTTATAACTCAAAAGAACAAAATCCTCATTTTTTTTCTTGAGAAAGAATTTCACTGTGTTCCCCAGGCTGGAGTGCAATGTCATGATCTCCGCTCACTGCAGACTCTGCCTCCTGGGTTCAAGTGATTCTCCTGACTCAGCCTCTCGAGTTGCTAGGATTATAGGTTTCCACAACCATTCCTGGCTAATTCTTGTATTTTTAGTAGAGATGGGGTTTCACCATGTTGGCTAGGCTGGTCTTGAACTCCAGACCTCAGGTGATCTGCCCTCTTCGGCCTCCCAAAGTGCTGGGATTACAGGCATGAGAAACTGCTCCTGGCCCCAACATCCTCGCATTATTAAAGGAAAGATCATATTATCTTGGTCCATCTAACATACATTTTAATTGTATTTTTAGGTGTCAATAACAACTGTATATATTTGTGAGGTAAAATGCAATGTTTTAATATATGTGTACATTTTGTAGAAAGATTCAATCAAGCTAATTAAATATCCATCACCTCACCAACTTATCACTTTTATGTGTAGGGTGATCATCCTTAAAATCTATTTCTTTAGCAATTTTGAAATATACAACACATTAACTGTGCAGTGCAATAGCAAATGTTTCTGCATTATTCCTCAGAAGTCTCCTCATTATTTTACAGTGTCTATATACCTTTTCTCTTCCAGTTTCTGTAAGTCTTCAAAATTCCTTCAGCTGTCACCTTGTGCCTTTTTTTCTTTTGCTTACTTTCAGAGCATCTTTTGATACCCATGAGCCATAATTTAGGAATGACCAACCACACATAGTTTTGTGTGTCATCTTCCTTGTTTAAAATTTAATCTTCCAATTTAAAATTTGATCCAAAACTTGTATTTAGAAAAATTCAGAAAGTTTATCCCAGTTTATAATATATGTTAGAAACAGCAAAATCTTAGTGATTTGATAATCTCACATATCATGCAATGAGCAGAACAAGCTGTCAAAAGAACAAAGAAGGGACTAGATCTCTGAAAGCTCATTTACAGAAAATGAAAAAAAAAACAACACATGCGTTTTATCTGACAAGTTGTTACAGTGCTTATACTAAGATGACAGAAAATATAGTAAAATTGGTCCAACTATTACACTTTCATTTATTCCAAGGACTATGACTAAGTTTCTACAAGTTGACTTACAGCTTATGTACACGCTTTAGAGATGTGATTTGGAAAGACCTAAAAGTTCCCATTATTTCTATACTTTATACCACACACACAACACACTATCTAAAATTTCTGTCATTAGCTGTACTCCCTTGGGTAAAGCAATGGGCAGATGTCCTTTTTAAATGCCTGGGGTAACTAACACAAAACTTAAAACTTAAAGTTTGGTGAGTTTTGCATTATGTACTTATTTCCACCTTCCATTAATTTTGGGAAGTTCACTTTCACTTTACCTTTCCATTATCTCATGCTTCTTCTAGTCATGATGGTGACTTTTTGTGATATCTCAAACTCTGCCTTCACCTGGCATAATTTTGTGCTTTGAATTCTTCTCCCTTAGTCTTTTTCGGCCTATCTGAGGTCTTTACCACCACACAATTTCTTCTGAAAGACCCTGCCATCTACTGAGATGCTATTACTTTATGCACTATGTTAATTCAGTTTAGCTTAGTAATATTAATGACTGCTTTCTGACTCAGTTGTTACCTCCTAGTTATCTTACCCAAAAGTTTGACATTAATGTTTTATTTGCATATATTTAAGGTGTACCATGTTTTGATATATGTATACACAGTGAAATTATTTCTACTGTCGAGGATGCTAACATATCCATTATCTCACATAGTTTCTTTTGTGTGTGTGTGTGTGTGTGTACGTGTATATGTATGTGTATGTGTATGTGTATGTGTATGTGTATGTATGTGTGTGATGAAAGCACCTAAAATCTACAGATAAAAAGAAATGTGCTCTAAAATTTTAAACAGCACAGTACTGGGAGAGAGACTCCATTTTAGAGGGAAAATGTTTAATTACTTAATTGTATAATTAAACTAAATTAAATCCCATCCCAGTGGTGAACTTAATGAGCTACCTTTCAAAGTCACCTAAGTAAAGCATTTTTCAAACAAAGAAACCCATCCAAAAGTGGGTGAAGGATCTGAACAGACACTTTTCAAAAGAAGACATGAAAAAATGCTCATCATCACTGATTATTAGAAAAATGCAAATCAAAACCACATTGAGATACCACCTTACACCAGTTAGAATGGCGATCATTAAAAAATCTGGAGACAACAGATGCTGGAGAGGATGTGGAGAAATAGGAACACTTTTACACTGTTGGTGGGAGTGTAAACTAGTTCAACCATTTTGGAAGACAGTGTGGCAATTCCTGAAGGACCTAGAAATAGAAATTCCATTTGACCCACCAATTCCATTACTGGGTATATACCCAAAGGATTATAAATCATTCTTTTATAAAGACACATGCACACCTAGGTTCATTGTGGCACTGTTTACAATAGCAAAGACCTGAAACCAACCCAAATGCCCATTGAAAATAGACTGGACAAGGAAAATGTGGCACATATATACCATGGAATACTATGCATCCATAAAAAATGATAAGTTCATGTCCTTTGTAGGGACATGGATGAATCTGGAAACCATCATTCTCAGCAAACCAACACAAGAAGAGAAAATCAAACACCACATGTTCTCACTCAGAGGCGGGTGTTGAACAATGAGAACACAGGGAAACAGGGAGGAGAGCATCACACACTGGGGTCTGTTGGTGGGCCAAGGGAGGGATAACATGGGGAGAAATGCCAGATGTAGGTGACAGGGGCATGGAGGCAGCAAACCACATTGCCATGTGTTTACCTATGCAACAATCCTGCATGATCTGCACATGTACCCCAAAACCTAAAGTACAATTAAAAAAGAAAAAAAAGGTAAAGTTTTTTTTTCTTTTAAGTAAATTTACTAAAATCTGTGCTTTGATTATCCTACTTGGCACAACGGAGAAGATGGTGTAGTCTTTGCTAGTCACAACCCTCTATCTCAAAGTTCCTCACAAATTGCTTTTGAAAGGCTTTTAATTATAATATAAAGTTTAATAAACTCTGTATAAATTGAGATTTTTAAGTTATAAATATAAAATTCATTCAGTAGGAAGAAAACAGGAAGATAAACTCGGACCAACTTTCATCTCTTTCTCCTCCTGCCTGGGGAGCCTTGGGTGACTGTCTCCTCTAACACTAACTTCATCTGGCTAACTCCAACTGAACTTGGCTCTGGTATTACCTTCTTCAGGAATCCTCCCAGCTGGTGCACCAGTTATTAGATACTTCTGTGAGATCTTGTAGTCTACTGCATTTCATTTATCTTTTATGTTTTATATATTTATCTTCTGTGTACCTCTGAGCCACACTGAGGATAAAAACCAGTTGATCCACTGGGTGCTTGGTACATAGCACAGGCTCTGACACCAAAGAGTTTATCATTAAGTGTCTGCTTCATGAATAAATAGTAGTGACCACTCTGTCTTCTGCCTAGAAATGTAAGTATAAATGAGAACAACGGGAATGATATAGTATTTCTGTGCTGTAAGGTACTATAAATATATAGGGCATTAGTATTGGTTGAGAGCCAACTATCTCAGGGTATGTCCATATCTGTGTCTACAAGTAGTAAGAAGTAAGTCATTCAGATGACATTAATTTGAAATTTATGATCCATATGTATAAACTGGAAAGCCATATCTGCACTAACTGTGAGGAAATGTTTGTTCAGTAAATAAACAGTTAAAGAAAGATCTGCTTAAACTACCTTCAGAAATGAACTGTTTTAGAGTATAAATTCTTCATTTATTGGTATACATACCTCATTGTTATTGACAAGTAATTCTTACCTCCTCATCAGTCTGCTTTTGCCAACACCTCCACTTAAAAGCAGTGTTCACGGTTGCTTGAAATTTTGAAAGCATTTCCATGCCTGCAAAAATAATATATAATCCCAACCTTCACTAATAAGCCTTCTTCCTCTTTTCTGGTTTCGGCTGATGTATCACGGGGCTCTTGAGGCATTCCATTCCCACCACTATTAGAAAACTTAGCACTGTGGCCTTAATTATTCATTAATTGTAACCTGAACAACTGATGAACAAATGAAGCCCAAATGGTAACTTTCTATTAGTGATGGGAATCAGTCGTCAGGAGGGAGTAAAGGGTCCAAGAGAAAAATATTTAAAAGCTAAAACTGATGCAACTTAATGAATGAACAAACTGAGAGATCTGGGTGAGCAAAGCGAGTACGGTGCCTAGGTTTTTGGCTTGGGTGACAAGGTTGATTGTGGCATCTTGGTCTAAATCACAGGAGTAGAGTGAGAAGGACGAGAGGATTCCTGAACTCAATGGATTCGTCTCTGGGCTTTGACTTTGAGGTCTTGTTGGGTAGACAGAGAAGAGTATCTAGTAGTTTAATGGTAAAGACCAGTCAGGCTTAGAGATGTCTGCATTGCAGATCAAGTCTGGAATACATTATGGTTTGGTTAATAGTTTCAATGTTGGGAGTGCATGAGATCACTCTTGCAGAATATACAGAAGAAAAGAATTAAGTGCAGGGTCTTAGAAATTATTGATGTTTAGTGATAGTTAAGGGCCAGTAACCTGCAAATGAGACTGAATAGGACATGTGGAACAATGTGAGAAATCAAGAATGCAACCATACAAGGAAAGACTTTCAAGAACTAGTAAGGGTGTAAGTATATGAGATGCCACAGTCAAACTTTCCTAGAGCCATTTTAGTGGAAAGATGAGAAGAGTCTGAAGAGTAAAAGGAGTTAATAAATGCAGAGGGAAGAGGAGACAATAGGTTTTCAATTTCCTCTGGAAAACTGAAAATGTCAAGTAGCTGTGTATTCTACTGACAGTCTAGTTTGGCGGAACTATACTTGTTCCTTACATGACACAATTAAGGTTCAAATAACACAAAGTCACATAGCCCGGTAGTACCTAGGTCTACCGGGTTTCCAAATACCCAATGATTCTTCCTTCTACTACCTCCACCACCATAAATTTCCAGAATGTGGTAGAACATCTATAGTTTCCTTAACATTATTCAATATTATTTTATTTAAATTAATCATTGCTACTTACGTTATTTTTAGATTCTTTGAATATGTTGAATTTAGTTCACAGTGTTTTCTGAAAGAATAGTATTAGTTACTAATATATAAAAAGCATATATTTGACAATATTTGTCATAACCTGGATTTAATTATATTCTAGTGCAAGTCAGCAAATGACTTCATAAATTTTGGGCATCTGTGACAATTTGCACTACTTTGCAGATTTTCTTCTTATTCCTGTAATCCTTCTAGTGCCAGAGCAATTCTAGATCACTAACGAGAAGCTAAGACAACTAAAGGATCATAAGACTTTTGCATTTTAAAGGAAGCTTATACTTTCTGACCCTTGATTTTTATACCTGTAGACTAGTTTCTACATTTAGTCTGTCCCACATTGCATAATTGTATGGCCTATTTTATTTACATTTGCAGTTGAATTTTTGCAAATTGTTTAAAACAAATAATTTCATAAGCATTTATGTTTACTTGTGTTTAAAAGAAATACAAATGTTGGGGGTATTTATAATGAAATTTGATGTTTTAAAAGTAAAAATACACTAATTTCTTCTTGAAATTTTGAAATAAACCAATGACCTCTATAATTAATATTTTTAATGTTTTTATTGTGGATTAATTTTAGGTAAATGTAATTTT